CACAGGATTGTACACTAAAGAGGGTTAATTTCACTGTATATAAATAACATTCTAAATTTTAAAATAGAAAATTAAATGATTCTGTGAACACCACTATTGTTCTTATTAAAATTCCACATAATAGTACACATATACAATCAAGTATATATATTTTTTATAAATCAGGTTTATCACATATATTTAAACCAAAATACATTTCCAAATCAAATTTTAAAAACTACAAATTTTAAAAGCAAGATTCATTCAACAAGATGGACAATGTTATTTTGCTGTAAACGTTTGTGGGTGCAGAATCTTTCTCTGAGACCACCTACCTAGCCACCCCCATTACGTAGCATAGACTCTCTCTCAGGTCCTACCTCTCCTCCTGGGTGGTCAAACCCTTCTCTTTCCCTTCTCCGACATTGTCACAGCCCCTCCACCCCACAAGTACCCATCTTCAATTGTGCCCCAGCCGCAGGCATCAGTGGCCCCCATAGATCTCCTGTTAGATAAGGGAAGATGGGAACTTCTGATCCTAAAACTGGAAAAGGCGGAAGAGAAAGCCACCTGAGAACGGAAAATCTAAAAACAAACTGGGAAGATTGAACAAATGCTTTTCTTTATGTTGAGAATGTCTGTCTCTGTCACAGGACAGAAGGACCCCTTCTCTTACCTTAGCCTTGGAGGTGCCAGGCTTGAGAGGGCGGGGGGAGGGGGGGATGTCCCATCCTGTCAAGCCTATTGTCCCCTTGTAGGTTGAAAACAAGGACTTGAAGTACAGTCTCTTATTAATCTTTGTATCTTCAGTGCCTTACAATACCTAACATATGTCAGCCAATCGATGAATGAATAAATGAGTAAATGAATAAATCAAATTCATTCAATAGTGATGAATTAAATAAAGATTAAATGATTAAACGGTGCAACCCAAATACAACTTTCGCCTTAATTGATGAGTAGGTGTAACAGGCATCTGATTCCTGCACTTACCCTTAATAATAACACCCAATTGATGTTTGTCTTTTCTAGATGCCCAGTTATCTGGAAGAGGTTTTGAGGACTGACCTTCACAGAGGCATCTGTCCAGCTTATCTTACTAAAGAGTTTCAGAAGTCCCCATGTTTTTAAAATAGAAGGTACAGACTCTATAATCTTGGGCAATTTTGATAATTTATCTGAGACTCAATTTCTACAGCAGTAAAACAGGGATAATAGTAGCAACAATTTAATAGAGTTTATGTGAGGATTAAATAAATCAGTCTTTGTAAGGAGACTGGCCGAGTGCGTGCCACAAGGTAATAATAAATGTTGACTGTTACTCACCCCCTCTGTTACTACCAACACCACAGCCTTTGCTAGTATTTTTACTATTTCTCATTAAGATGTGAATATAGCTTGGTTTAATTGGAGGAAGCATTCTGAACTCTAACCGATCTCTTCTTTAAGCTCATTTAGGAAATTGTAAGAAATTGCCATCTGGCATAATTTCACTTGAGAGCTCCATAGGAAACGATTGCTTTTTATTTAAAGTTCAATACAATAAATTTTAATGATTTACCAGCTCCTGGGCACAGAGAATTTGTCCTGTGGAGGGGAAAAAAAAAAAAAAAGGACAACCATCTTACCCTTAGGAGGAAAAATGACACTAAATTAGGGTGTTATTTTGGACATACAGATTCTACACAATCTGTTCTTAAATCTCTAGTCATCTAGGTAAAAAGTGTATTTCCATAAGGGAGGGAGAAGGTGGTGGTGCAGTGGAGGGGAAACATGACCTTGCCCTTGTGACCCATTTCTGCAGAGGAGGTAGTGTCGGCTGGTGGTGGTCTGCCAACATTTAAGTTGAATTCAGTTTTGAATTGTCTCTCCATTCCTTACTGGTTGTGTGATTTGGAGCAAATTATTTCTCTTAGCCACCGCTTTTAGCTTTGCTTTTCTTCATAAATGAGAATAACATCTACTTCGTATGAGGATTAAATGAGGTCATACAAGTGTGGAGGAAAGAAAATGTAATTTAAAAACCTAATTTCAGGTGCTTCCACATGAAAGGGCCTCAACAGAAGAAAATGTATCCTTTTATTTAGGAAAGGATGTCGACGGGCCATCTACTTCTGAGAGGCAAAGCCCCAGACCCATCTGGATGGGAGAAGTTGACATAAAGTGGGTAGTAAAAGTAACAGAAGTAATGCAGTTTTGGGACTTTTAAATTTTCTCCTCAAGACCCAAGAAAAGGAGTTTGGACCCTGGAACTAGGGGGAAAAGAGATGGGGGAACAAACCTAGTGTGCTATTTAAAAAAAAAAATTTTTTTTATTGAGGAACAGTGTGTTTTTCCAGGACCCATCAGCTCCACGTCAGGTAGCTGTTTTAATCTAGTTGTGGAGGGCGCAGCTCAGTGGCTCATGTGGGGATCGAACTGGCAACCTTGGTGTTATGGGCACTGAGCTCTAACCACCTGAGCTAACCAGCCACCCCCCACACCCCACCCCCAGTGTGCTCTTCAGCAACAGACGTATTGGATAATGAAGGGAAGGTTGCTTTTCCTTTGGTGCTCCGGTTTTTTGTTAGCCTTTCCCGCGTCTTTGTGGAAGCTTTACGCCTCCCTTAGGCATGTCTTAACACCGTCTCAGGGAATCCGAGAAAGTCATGCTCACAGCAAGCTGGGGTGGCCCACAGGACTGCCATAGGGGATCAAGTACTGAGTCTAGATTAGGGTGCAGAAGCAAATGGTGAGAGGAGCCACCAGGAAAATCTACCTTCCTCTCGGGTACTCCTCAGAAATATTAGGGAGGAAGCTGGACTCTCCCAGTTATTCATTTATTTTCATTTCACTGTGTCTGTATTCCACTGAGCTTGGAAAGCTGGAGGACTTAGGGACACATGAAACACACTTTCCATTGAGCACTTTCTGCTGCCACCACCTTAGAACAAGCTGCCAACCACTCTGGCCTGGACAACTATGTTGCCTCCTAACTCGTTTCTATGCATCTGCGTTTGTCCCTTCCAATCCATCCTTCACACAATTGCCAGAAGAACCTATTTTAAGCATAAAATGGATTAAGTCACCACCCTTCTCAAGTCTCTTCATTGGCCTCCTATTTTACCTTGAATGAAATCCCGACTCCAGATCTTGACCTCTCAGGCCTGTGGGACCTGCCCCTGCTTCCATGAGCAGCGTCGCATGACACCAAGTGGCCCCTCACCGACAGTGCTCAGCACCCTCAGGGTCTGTCCACACCGTCTCCCCTTCTCCTCCTCCTGACCTTTACCTGTTTGGCTCACCCCACTTTCAGGTCTCAACAACCCATGGCACCTTCTTGGTGGACCTTCCCTGGCCACTCTAGATAAATGGTCTCAACCCTGACCCTTGTTCTTATCAATTGCAACACGCTGGCTGTTGCTTCATCACACTTATCAGTTTTGTGACTATTCGTCTGTTTTGCTTTTTTATTTCTTGTCTATGTCTATGAGGGCACAGGCTTTATTCCATAAACCCCACCATGCATCTGGCACCTGCTTTAGTGCCTGAACCTTAGTAGGCCCTCAATCAGTATCTGAAGGATTAATTTTTTTTGGGGGGGAATATATGATAATTCTTTTTTTTTAAATTAAAATTTATTGGGGTGACAATGGTTAGTAAAATTGCATAGGTTTCAAGTGTACAGTTCTGTAATACATCATCTGTATATCACGTTGTGTGTTCACCACCCAGAGTCATTTCTCCTTCCATCACCATATATTTGACCCCGCTGGATTAAATTTTTAATGAGATATTTTACACTTTTCTATATTCAAAATCCTTTATATGTTTTACACTTACAGCACATTTCAATTTAAACTAGACACAATTTCAAGTGCTCAAGTGACTCCTGTGCTGGACAGTGCAGGCCTGAAGCATGCTATCCTCAACATGTGGTAGCTGCTAGATAATGAAAATCGTGCAGAGCTTTTGAAGAAGAAAGGCTTATGTTGAGAGCTGTGGGAAAGAGGGGTACCCCCTGGCCAAGCCCACAGGGTGAGTCTCTGCTCACCTGCTAGGATCTGGAAGGGCAGCGAGACCTTGCGTGTGCCCTGGATGAATGAGTAAGGCCAATGCACCGGGAGTGAGGTGGACCTCTATGCAAAAGCCCTTGCCTTCCAGATACACACAGGGAAAGCAGAGTGCAGAGGACACACCGAGAGCACCAGGCTTGTTGCATGGGTGGGAGGCGACAGGCCAGGAAGGCGTCTGCCAGCGGGGTATCTCAAAATGCAACCCATCTAGGTATCATCGCCAATCTTCCAGAAACGTACTATTACTGGGGATTGTTGGTGACACAATATGTAATGTGACTTATTTTTGTTTTTTGTATAAAACTTCCTTCAGTTCATTTGTGGCCAGCATGTTTCCAGTTGGGAGGCTGGAATGAGCCAACTGGGGTGTCTAGTGCAGAGTTTCACCCAGGTTTCTGGTTAGGAAATCCTCTTCTAAAAAGTGACTTTTAGATGTGGGCCACTCACTAGATAATATTCACCATCAAGCATAGTGCTTGGAAGAAAAACTCCATTGTGTATGTTTAAAACTCAGTTTTATGAGAGAAAAATGTGTGTGACGCAAAGAGATACACCACTTACTCTGGTACCCAAAGCGAGGATGGTCTCCCATTCACGTTTGACTAATGATTATGTTTCATTGCTCAATGTCACGAGTTCCTGAGTCAGATAGACGAAGGGCAGCTAGTGCCAAGTCGCTGAGCCCATCTTTCTGCCCTTAAGGAGCAGACTGGACGGTGGATTCTGCATCGTCTTGCACAGACAGTTCCCACAGATGTTGGTGGGATCTGTAAGTAGGAGCGCGGTTAGAGTATTTAAGGGAGAATTCTGCTGTGCAGGTCGCAGAGCCCAGCCTGCAGCTCAGAGTGAACAATTTTAACCTGTTGGCTCCTCCAGAGAATGAAGACACCCCCCCACACACACACACACTTCCCCAAGTTTCAAAGAATACTGCTAGTTATATTTTGTTGGAGATCCGTGACTTACCAAAGGTCCAGGAATTTTGGCAACAGCTTTCCAAGGCAGGGGTGAGGAAGGTAAGGAACTGTTTCCCCAGCACTATGAAGCCTGCTAACTTGATCAAGTATCAGCTGCTGTTTGACAACATACAGAAACACACCATGAGAGCACAACTGTTCTTTTCAGACTGTATTAATAGAAAAATCTGGTCAACTAGAAAGATTAGTACAAGAATGTTCTACCAAGTAGATCCAATTTCTCTAAGGAAATGTTAATCCCTTCTCGCTGCAGGCTTTCATATTAAAAAAAAATGAGTCATCATTGTATCACTGATTATTTTAAGAGATCTTATAAAGGTTAAAGCATGTTAGAGTTAAATGAGCCTTTTAAAAAAATTTCCCCCCCTCAATATTTGAAAAGAACGTTATAGATATATTCTTAATGAAAACATTAAAATATAAAGCTTTTATGGGCCCTTTTCCAATTTCATTTCTCTTTCTCCCTAAACTGTATTATTATGTCTCAGTTCCAGGCATTTTCTCTCTCTCTCTCTCTCTCTCTCTCTCTCTCTGAAATACAGCATTGTCTTTCCATATTTTAAACTTTAAATAAATGTTAAATACTGCTAATAGTTTATGTCTTCTTGAAGAAATATCTATGAATATACAAGAATGTATGTATTTTTACATAAATAAGCTCATTTTATACGCACATTTCTTTTCTTTTTTTTAAGATTTTATTGGGGAATTGGGGGAAGGGAGCAACGTTGAGGAATTGAGGAAGGGGAACAGACAAGTTGCTGTCCTTTTGTTCTTCAGTCTAGTTGTGGAGGACGTTGCTTCACTGGCCCATGTTGGTATGATCATTGCGCTCT